AGATCTGATGGCGCTGACGTTTCCCCTGAAGTGGTCTGCAAACTGCTCACAGAGCGAGTCTGTGGGCTTCTTTGGGAGCTGTTAAAATCAGGGTTAAATAAATGATCTATGGTGGAAAAGAGGACCTTGGGATTATTTTTGTTAATACTGATTATTTTGGCGAAGTATGAATTTCTTGAGTTCCTTAGTGTATTATTGTACATTTTAAGTTTTTGATTTTGATGGTTAATTACATTTTTATTTTTCCTCCACCTCCTTTCTGCTGCCCTGCAATTCCTTTTGAGTGTTTTGACTTCTTCGTTTCTCCAGGGTGATGCATGTTTTACGTTAATCTTGTTGGTGGTGAGTGGAGCAACGGAGTCAAGGCTTTTCTTCAGTTTGCTGTTAAAATGATTAAAAATAAAATCGCAGGGTGCAGGTAAAATCACAGGGGGGCATTCGACTAAAACCCTGGTAAAATTTGCAGCCACTTCAGAGGTTAGATAGCGCCTCCTCACAGTTCGCACCGAGGTCTCCTGCTGAATAAAACCGGTGATGTTAAAAAACACACAGTAGTGGTCAGAGACAGCCAAGTCAACAACAGAGGACACGCTGGTGGACAGCCCATGGGTGATGACCAGGTCCAGAGCGTGTCCTCTGTTGTGAGTCGGCTGCGTGACGTGCAGGTAAAATCCAAACAGTGAAGAATGTTTAAGAATTCTTTTGCTGCAGGGTCAGAAGGATTATCTATGTGCAGGTTAAAGTGATCATGTTATATTTTGAGTGTGTGTTTGTTAAAACTTCTGTCTTTAGGTGGTCTTTAAGTGTGACAGATAAAACTGGAGGGCTGCTGAAAACAATAGCAGGGAATTCAAAGGTGGTAAAACGATCAAATAAAATTTGTTTAATTTGATCGTTTGTTAAAAGTTGTGATGCTGTTTTTTTTCCCAGGTGTCTGTGGGGCTGCTTCACGGTCGGGCCTCTCACATCATCTGGCCACCAAACCGCTGGCAGCGAATCACAGCATCGCTCCCTGCAAACCGAGGACCGCTGGACACCGAGGAAGAGGACTGACCACGCCCACAGAGTTTCTGTATTTTTCTTAAAATGTCAAATTCACAGCAAGAGCCGCTCGCTGTGACCGTGTGAGTCAGATTACTGCATGGCTTTTATATAAACCGTGTTCATTGTACACTCAGGTGGTGTTTTGTTCGTTTCACTGCAGTCTTTTGTTTTTAAATATTTCTTTCTTGAACGCTGAAAAGACGACAAACTGAAGTCCTGTCCCCGAACTTCACATTTTACATGAAAAATTAAAGCTTTTGTCTGTAAACCACCAAGAATTCTTTAAGTTTAAGTTAAGTTTGTGGTATTTTATCAACTAAGCTAATAATCACTGGCAAAGTGATGTGATGGGCAATTAAACTCATTTGTAATTTCCACCCTATCCTGGTGTTGAATGTTTGAATCTGCTCATTTCCAGCTGCATATTTTTATGTTTTATGATTTTTTAAAATGTTTTCTCTTGTACCCTTAAAGCTTCTGACCATATTAGGGATTTCCCCTCTCTGTGACGGCAGTCTCATGTCTTCATTCACATTTTAACCTCATCTTTAGCCTGCGAAGGCTTTGAGCTCGTGGGAAATTATTCTGAATCCTTAAACCAGAAATATGAATTTTCTTAATCTAAAACATTTTTGTAGCAGGTCACAAAGTGCGGGACTTTGACCTTGGTCAAGGCTAAGATTAAAGCTTTGAGGTTTCGGTGTTCGTCTCAGTGAACAGCTTCAATATTTAACACCCCAATTTTTAGCTCTTATGTAATCTGTACTTCAACAGGGAGCCCCTGCGTCTCTGCTGGGATCTCCTCCCGAGTGGGTGTGACCAGAAAACCCAGGAGGCACGCCTCTCTCTTCACTATGATGGTCCAGTATAACGTCCACACCAGTCAGCCCGTTTCTCTCCCACTCTGCTTCCCATCACTCGTGATTCAGCGTCTCTTTAGCTCCATAAATAATTCTGAATTAAAGCACCTCTTCGATTGTTCGGTTTCTTTTTGGCTCCGTAAACAAACAGCAGATGTGTAAGAATCGTTCAGAGGTGGAAACAAGCACACAGCTCTCTGCGTTTGTCCCTCATTAACTTCGAACTTCCATTGTCCACTTTCAATTTTTTATGTTTTCCAGCGTAGGAGGCGGATGTGTGTTGCTACAGAATTCCAACTACAATTTTAGAGGTTTTAGTCTCATTTCTGTGTTTGAGAACTGAGAAGTCAAATTAAAGACGTGTTTCTGATCCATCCATTTTCATCCGCTTTATCCGAGGCCGGGTCGCGGGGGCAGCAGCCTAAGCAAAGAGGCCCAGACCTCCCTCTCCCCAGCCACCTCCTCCAGCTTATCCGGGGGAATACCAAGGTGTTCCCAGGCCAGCCGAGAGATATAATCTCTCCAGCGTGTCCTGGGTCTGCCCCGGGGCCTCCTCCCGGTGGGACATGCCTGGAACGCCTCACCCAGGAGGCGCCCAGGGGGCATCCTTGTCAGATGTCCGAACCACCTCAGCTGGCTCCTTTCGATGTGGAGCAGCAGCTGCTCTACTCTGAGCCCCTCCCGGATGGCCGAACTTCTCACCCTATCTCTAAGGGAGAGGCCAGCCACCCTTCGGAGGAAGCTCATTTCTGCCGCTTGTATCCGCGATCTCGTTCTTTCGGTCACTACCCACAGCTCGTGACCATAGGTGAGGGTAGGGACGTAGATCGACCGGTAAATTGAGAGCTTCGCTTTTACACTCAGCTCCCTCTTCACCACGACGGACCGGTGCAGCGTCCGCATTACTGCAGCTGCAGCCCCAATCCGTCTGTCGATCTCCGGCTCCCTTCTCCCATCACTCGCGAACAAGACCCCGAGATACTTGAACTCCTCCACTTGGGGCAGGAACTCATCCCCAACCCGGAGTGGGCACTCCACCCTTTTCCGGCTGAGAACCATGGCCTCGGATTTGGAGGCCTCAGATTTGGAGGCCTCAGATGTGTCGGATCATCAAAGTAATTTGACTATTAGACAAAGATAACGAGAGTAAATACAAACACAAATCCAAACCCACCTGGACCTTCTTGTTAAAAATGAATTAACTCTCATTAACCACATTTTATTGAGCTTCCAAAAATACCTGATCACTGTCACACCTGCTGGATGATAAATCCCTTAAACAGAAGCTGCTTGATAAAGTGAAGCAGACTGAAAGGTCTCAACCAGCAGCACATCAGCATCACGCTGCGATCTAAAGAAACAAGTGACATCATCAGCCTGAGCCAGCCTCTGTGAACCACAGCGAGCGCCGTTATCCACACATGGAGGAAACCCGGAACGGTGCTGAACCTTCACAGGAGCACGTCGACTCAGCCAGGAGGTCACAGAAGAACCCAGAGCAGCATCTACAGACCTGCAGGCCTCGCTCGGCTCAGTTAAGGTCAGAGGTCATGGTTCAACAACAAGAAAGAGACGGGGCAAAAATGGCGTCCATGGGAAAGTTTAAGGAGAAAACCACTGCTGACCACGGCTCGTGTCACATCTGCCAGAAAACATCTGGATGATCCCTGAGAAGGTTTGAGTCCCGTCACATCAAAATAACAGCGTTTCATAAAGAGAACATCACAGCAGCGGTGGCGTGATGGTCTGGGCTGCTGTAACTGAGGGAACCATGAATATGCCAGAAAAGCCTGAAGGAGGATGTCTGCACCTGAAGCTCAAGAGCAAAAGATGATTATGTTTGTAAAAATAACTCCCAGATCAGAGGCTGTGGCGGCGACTGCCTGCTGACGTCCGTGCTGCAGTCAAACACACTATTTTCCATACATCACTCAGAACCGCTCATGTCCTCAGGTCCTGGTGGTATTCCTCTGTAAGGATGTTGTCACAGCAGAGCTTCCCTCATCTGACCTCCGAGGTGCTCCTGATGATAACTGAGCGAATTCAATTATTTTGCAGTGCGATGGGAGCGAGCTGTGTCTGGGTCATTATCTAAAAATCTGTTTTCACTTTGCTGTTGTTTGTGTCGCTGCTGCTGTCGGCTGTAAGCAGAGGGCTGCTGACACTTCACAGACGCTCTCCCCTTTTATTAATTGCTCTTGGAGGAGAAATGAGCCTTTAGCCTTCCACATCAAGCGGGGTGTGTGAAGTCTTAATTAGAGGGGAAAAGCACATGTGACAAAACATGTGCAGCCAGCTGACTTCTGCAGCAGCTGAAGCGCTCCGTCTTTAAAGATGTGCGTCGCTGATTTGCATAAATCAGACCGAGGGAACACTTGTGGTGCATTCAGCCAAACTGAGCTCCCAGATGTAGCTGCTGATTGTGCGACGCTTGCAGCTGTGTCACAGTGTAAGGGGACCCCGGAAGGATAAGTGGGGCTAAATGCAGATGTACCCGAGCCTCCCGCTGAGGCTCACATGTGCATGATTAATTCACCTAAATGTTCTGTGCATTTGTGCATCAGCTTCATCTGATGATTTAGTTGATAATATATTTGATGTTCATGAACGACGGCTGCAGACGGCATCTCTGACTGACTGATATCCTCTCTGGGTAGTAAAGCCGTGTTTGCACATTTCCCGGTACTTTGCATCCTGCATTTACCTTATTTACAGAGAGCTGAAAAGACTCATCAGTCTGTCTCTGTGTGTGTGCTCGCCTCTAAGCCTCTGTGCTGTTTCCGTGCCAACAAACACCATCGGGTGCAGCTGCTAGGATACCGGTGTCGCCGTGGTGAGATATGGCCTTGTTTAGACATTCGGGATTACTGCACTAACAGAAGGGATGCCACATGCCAGCCCGTCCTTCCTCCGTGAGTTAACAGATGCACCGAATCCTTCTGCAAACGTGTTCTTTACACAGTTTTCTGAATTTGCAGGTTCTGTGGTGTGCAGTCTCAAACCTGCTGCAGGTGCCAAACACATTAACGAGCTCGCATCCTCAAGACTGCTGAGAAAAACTCAGACTAGCCATGAATACGGAACAATGATCTTCATTTAAGACTTCAGGTGACGTTTCGCCTGAGACCTCTACATCTAAGAGTTTGGCCTTTGAGCATGAGACCTGTAATGGGGTCTCGTACAAAGACTGTAGGACTGGTTCTCCCAGTAACACCCAGCATGTGTAGAATTCATCGTTTATATAGAGGCAGAACAAAACAAGATGCAGGAGAAAAATAAGCAAAATGACAGGATTTTCTGTGAAAATATGTTTAATTTCTCCTACTTTACGCACAAATATTCACAGATTTACAGGGTAACCTCGGGCAGAACTGCTGAACGTTTGGTCTGAACACAGCGTTAACGTTTACAAGGTGACAGGCTTAGAAACACAACCAAACTGTGGGGTTGGATGTGAGGATGTTTGAGACGCTCGTCCGTTCGAATGGCGGACTCCTGTACTCACGTTTCGAGAGCACAGGTGAGTTTACAGGCATGAAGTGCACTACAGGTCTTCATGCCTCTGTACTCTTCACAGTCAGAGAGCTGCACATGGTGCTTTTCCTCTCAACTCCCTCAGCGAAGTGGAATGGAAAGGACTCCAAACCCATTTCCATCAGCACCGACGGGGACGGCAAACGTCATGTGTTGCGTTCACGCGTCTGGATTTTATACACGTCAAATTTCTTGTCGTAACTGTTGGAGAATTCAGTATTTGATGTGTGGAAAGAGGCTTAACAAGCTGTAAATGTTTTAAGTTAAAGCACCGAGACTTTCAAGTACTATGTCTAGTCAGGTGCACAAGCTGCAGACTTACTGCAAATGCAGCATTCATTTATGCACAGCTGGTCCAAGGTCTCAGGCAGGTTGAGGTCTGGACTCTGCACCGTTGCAGCAGCTCGATTCTTCTTCAGTCGTTCTGCTGCAGATCTGCTGCTGTGCTTGGATCATTGTCCTGTTGATGGTCTGAGCTGTAGCTGTGGTCCACTCAGATCATCATCCCTCCTGTGTTTGGTTTTCAGTAAAACGTCGTGTTGGGCAGTATGGACAAACATCTCCACTTCAGTTTTGGTCTTCAAAGAGTTTATTAAGAAATAAAGCTTCACTTTCCAAAGCCGGAGTGTTGAGATCCGTTTATGTTTGTGACTTAGCATTAGATTGTAAATTCAAAACAATAAGCAGCTGCAAACCGCTTTGCAACCCACCTCTGCACCATCTCACCCACACCGCTAAAAATAAATTACTACAGATGGAAATCTTTTATCTGCAGTGGTGAAATTATTCCTACCACACACAGGTATCAGTGAAAAACTTCATCTACAGTTTATTTTCCTTCCATTTATGGTCAAAAAGGAGGCGGGTCAAATTAAAAAACCAAATGTTGCCATGAATTTGTCTCTTTCTGTCTGTTCTGTGCCAAATTTTCAGTTTTTTATGCGAGAAATGATCCAAAAAGAAGTGTAACAGATCCAGATAATAGAGT